TTGGTTGGTCACGTCAATGCCGTTCTCGGCCTTGGTCACTTGGAGCAGCATCATGATGACGGACATGTGGCCCTTTGCAGCCGCCACATGCCACGCCGTCTCGCCATCCTAGATCAAAGCAAAATGTTTGGGACCTGCCAAGCTAAAAAATGCATGCCTCGTTGGCCAGTGAGCAGCTCACGCCCAGACGCAGGAGCTGAGACACCGTGCTCTCGTCATTGGTGGAGGCTGCGTGGCGCAATACGGTGCCCAATACCGGCCTTGAAGCACATACATTCTGTACCACACCGTGAATATTCTCAGCAAAACGAAGTCGATATCCCACCGTGTCGACGAGGTCGAGGGACGCACCCGCCTCGTACAGCTTTTGAGCTGCCTCTGCGTTGCCAGTGGTAATGGCGACTGCGAGAGCTGTGCGACCCGTCTATTTCATTGCAAATGACGTGAGAATGCCGGACAAGAAGTCGATTTATGGAAATACCGCGTCTTTGGCATCGATCCGGAGATCAGGTTTTTGAAGCAACATCTGAAGCAGTGACAGATCTTGCGTCGCCACGACCAAGTGCACCAACGGCGTTCTAGACTGCACTCATATCTATTATCAATAGTAAATCAGGAAAAGAGAAGCGTACGCTGTCACGGAGGTTGACTTGATAAAAGTTGTTTTGGAGAATGCGCATGGCGTCAGGAATGTGCTTTTCGCGCAGCGCGTCAAAGAGCTATAACCGAGAGAGAGTATAGACGCGATGGAACAGAATGCATTTTGTGATAGACCACATGCATGTACCTGGTCTTCACCTGGCATGCGAGGGTAGTGACGCAAAATCTGTGCCACTCGATCCTTTGAGCCGCTCGCCTCTGCGACCTGAAGCGGTGTTTTGCCATTCTAGAATCATTTTATTTGGTGTGCTTGTAGATCTCTTGTAGCAGATTCCGTGCCAGCACCAAACGAGGACTTGTTGGCATCGAGAGTGGTGCAAGTACGTACGCTGTTTTTGGCGTCGATTTTGGCGCCTTTTTCCAAGAGAAAATGGACCATTACTGGCTGATTGCCTTGAGCCGCTTTGTGGAGAGGCGTATGACCATCCTATGTTAATAGACACTTCTAATCAACGCGAACGAAAAGACACAACATACCACATCGGACGCTTCCACATTGGCGCCTTTTTCAAGCAAGAGGCGGACGACGTCCAATTGACCTCTGGAAGCAGCAGAGTGCAATGGCGTTTGACCATACTACACAGCAGTTGCATCCATTCAAGCAAATTGAACAACTCTATTCCGTCGATAAACGTACCGAATCGCACGCTTCCAACGTGGCGCCTTTTTCAAGCAAGAGGCGGACAACGTCCACATGCCCATAATAAGCCGCAGAGTGCAATGGCGTATAGCCATCCTACGTCAAAGTATGAATGTAAAACAATTCATGTATAGAGATCCAACGCACGTTCTCTGTGCAGTTGGCGTTGACACCTTTGTTGAGATGCAACTGGACATCAGCCAAGTTGCCACATAGTGCTGCACTGACAAGCGCTTTCTACATATAGTAACTCCTAAGCATCGTCGTAGGTCGCATCATCGTCGTGCAACCTCGTCGTTCGTGGGCATCTTCTGTCGCCGTCAGTTTATGAACTCACACTTCGTTGTCTTTTCATTCGCACCAATCCACGCCCGGCAGTACAACCGGTCGACGCCATATCTTTCCGGATAAGCAGCCATGTCAAGATCTTATTGCTTCGAGGCAGTCAGAATCAGCGCAAAAATCAGGCGTGCAGCAAAAGAACGTGCGACCGCGCCATCGATTTGTGCACAACTGCGTCATTCGGGAGAAGGAGCCTGTGTAAGGAGCAGAGTCTGGTGCAACTAGCGTCAGCTTTGGCGCCCGTTCATCACTGCGATGGATCGCACAAGAGACGATTAAAGTTCTCTTGGCTTGGCCCATCCAAAACAGCAAAACGGGCTCCAAGAACCCTCCTCATAGGGTTAACAGCCTGTACTACAGGCTGTTGTGATCCACGGACGCGAATAAAATAGTGTCTCTTACTAAACGGAAAATGCAAATGTGTCAAGATATCAACTGCAGTGCTTGTACGGACAGCATCGTTTCGTATCTACCGGTGCGCACGGTCGTCCACTACCCTTCTGCACCATCCTACGGCGCAAGGGTTGCACAAGCAGACGCTTCGAGCGATGTGTCTTTTGCATCCCACGTGCCCGACAAGACTCATAGACACTCGCACGCTTCCCGCGATTGCCGCCAACGCCGAGCGTCCAGCACACTGCGACAGTAGGCAATCGACCAGTGCGTTGCTCTTCATCTCTCGCCTCGTAAACGCTGCGACGACAACACTGGCTGCTTCTGTGGCGTCCCTAGTCGACGACGCTAGACCCGTTGTCTTTCCGCAAGCTTTGGGCGATCCGTCCTGCGTGACCGAGCAATACATGCGTCCACATGGTCGCGCACAGGAACCGGAAAAAGCTACGTGATCAAGCGCATCGACGTGCGAGCCGCCCGACGCCAAGCGCTGGTGGCAGAGCATCCAGCCGTCGGGCGCCGTCCCAAGCGAGTGCGACAACCACCTACGAGGCCGCCAAGATGGGCCTCCTACGCCACCTACCAGTACGCCATGCATCAACCACCGGCGGCGCGTGATCCAGTTGACTTGGTTGATCGTCTATCAGCGAGATATACCTCGTCGACGATGCGAGCGTCGATCCGGAGCACGGGGATCCTGCCTGCTGGGCACGGGGCACCAGGACCTTGCCAGGTCCGTCGCTATCTTCGCGACCTCCTTCTTCTTCGCCTTCTGGACGACGTCGATCGTCGCATGGGCCAGCAGCCATCCGCGCCCTTCGTCTTGACCGCGCTGGCAGGGACCTGCTGTCCTGCTCCGCGACTTTGCTGCAATCTGGCCACAAGAATCGGCACATGCCGAATACAATGGTATCCGGACAACATTTTGCCACTCGAGATGCCACAACGAAGCGAGAAAGGCCGCACGGATGAGGCAGTCGCCTTCTAGTAGCCTGGTCCGGCACAGCCAGCACGATGCGCCTGACGTAATCTGGGCGCAGCCGCCCTCGATCAACGCCAAGGCCCATCGTCGCGCCACGTCACTGAAGGCGGACCTCGCGCATCTCGCAGCCGGCAACGCTGCGACGCCGCAGGGAACGTGCTGGCGGTGGAGTAGGCTGGCTCGCAGTACGTGGCACCAGGACCGAGTATAGTACACAGCGCTCGTCCAGCCATGTGTGGCGTATTGTACCGAGGGCCATCGCCAGTGCTCGGACGTCGTCCTACGCAGAGCTACCTTGGACGACGAGTCTCTCGCGCGATCGTCGATTCGTTGACGCTCTCCCATGTTCGAGAGCGTGATTCCAGAGTATATAAACCTCGGACATAGTGCCACGAGCTTGTGTACAAGACCTTCTAATACGCGCCAGGAACAAAGCTGTCGGGACGTCGCATGCGTTGGGTAAAAAGGGCAAAGGAGGTCGATTACGTCGCCCGCCATCGAGAGTGGTAGCAAGGCGGTGTCTGGACGGTGAGGTGGGCCACTTGAGCGTCGTCGATGGCCTTGCACGCGTCACTTGAGCCGAACTTCTGGGCGCGTGGGCCAGAACAACGACGTCGCACCGCGCATTGCGTGAGGAGAGTCGCGCGCTGGATCCTTCTCGCTGCTTGTTGGAGCACAGTCGTCATGTCCTTGGTGCTGATGGTCTTGACGCAGAAAAACAGAGTCCACGGCAACCACAACCGAGACAGGTAGCATTGTATCGCTTACTGCAACCAAGAACGCGTATTCAATGCAAAGGAGTTTTTGTTGCAATTGTTGTTGACACGAGTCGGTAGAATGCAATAGTGGTCTTGTCGGCCACATTGTTGTCGAGCACGAAGTGTTACGTCGTCGACTTGGTCGTTTTCTGAATGCGTCGCAGAAGCATGTTGAGTTTTGCATGGTCGTTGGGAAGTGCCTCGTTGCATTCGCTGCAGGCTGTCGCTTCCATGGATTGCGGCGCGCCGCAGCCGACGCAGACAAGACCATCGTAGATCTTCAATCCTTTCTTCTTGGCAACTGCCACGCGCTGCAAAAGGACCTGGAGCTTGGCTAGAGTAGAAGCAAGCGCTTCGGCACAAGTCTCGCAGTGCGTCTGGAGGAGCGAGTTGGATGCGCAACAGAGCTGACACATGAATTGCGTGCTCACAAGCATCGACTACGATGACAGAGGGTAAGACCAAGAAAGAGCACCGAGAGGCTTTGAATAGTTGGTGGTCATACCGCCGTGCCAGTGGACGCTGGAGGTGCCACGGAGGTCGCGGGTGCGACGACAGCCGCCTCGTTATTGGTGTCGATAGACATAACGCTTGCTGGCGGCTTGATCGAGGGCTCTGGTCTCTTGTCCGACATGATGGGCTACATGTATCGAGCTGAGACGCTTCCAGAGAGCGACACGTACCACGGGGCTACTCACAGCACGAGGCTCGGTCGGCTTCGTCTTGGGTTCATGCACGGCGGGCGCCAAAAGCTCCTCTTCGCTGCGATGGAGCAGCTTTTGAAGCGACTCGACAATCTTTTGTGCCGACGGACGCTGCGTCGGATCGAACAAGAGACATTGCTCTGCGAGGTGACGCAGCCAAGGCGGACAGTTGGTGCTCACTGTCGGACGGAGGTTGCCGAGACGCACGCCGTCGATGATACCCCAGTACCCGAGACCCTTGACATCGTGAAACGGCATCTGAAGCGTATCCAGCTCGGTCAAAACGACGCCGAACGAGTAGATATCGGATGCAAAGCTGTAGTTGCTGCTCGACGCAAAGACTTCGGGGGCTGTCCAGTACGGCGTGCTCTTGCCTGTCGTTGCGTCCGACTCGTGGGCAAGACTGGCAACGTCGGCGAGCTGGATGCTGTTGTCAGCACAGAGCAGAACGTTGTAGCTCTCAAGATCACGGTGAACACGACCGGTGTCGTGCAAGTCGGCAAGAGCGTTCGCGAGCACCCATGCGACGTCAAGGGACGAGACATTCACGTTGGTGGGCTCACCGAGTCGCTGCGCGTCAAGGTAGCTGCGCAAATCACCTGCGTCCACGCTCTCAAGGATGGGAGCTTGCTTGCTGCTCCCTGCATCGACACGTGCCTACTCATCGGTTCGGTAGAGCCACGTGACGGCGATGATAACATACGACGTGGCTGCTTGTTGTGCCCTCCGATCGATCGCGTGGTCCCTACATGGTGCGACATGTGGAATGGTTTCTCGACTATTAGATGTGTAGGGCATTACCGACACCGCTTTGTTGCAGTCGGCAGCTTCGAGTCGTCGGTGGCTGTTCGTGTCTGGGTCCAACACAGCCGCCGAGAGCCGAGCCGTCTACAGAACACGGGCTTCCAGACCACGTTGGGTGATGCAGGCTACCCGGTTCTTGGCCTTGGTTTCGGCACGTTTCAAGACAGCAATGGCATACGGGTGGGTCGCTAGCATCCGCGGTGTCGCCCCCGTCTACACATAGAGCCACTCGAGTATGGTCATCATCGCATCTAAGTAAAGGACCTTGGTCGTCGCTAAGATATTGGCTTCGGCGTCCAAAAGGTACTTGACGGCGCTCCCGTGGCCCTTGGCGGCCGCAACATGCAGCGGCGTCTGCCCCAACTAGTGTACTGACTTATTAGACCAAATGAGATGCCGGAGACGGCAGCCATCTACCTCGTCGACCATCTCCATCGCATCGCTGCAAAGCGGGAGGACGTGATCAAGGACCGTTGGGTTGCCGCCGATCGCGGCCGCGTGCAATAAAGTCGATCCAGTCTAGCATCGTTGCAGTCCTGTTGATGGTGGTGACGCAAAGGGCGTAGTACGCTCGTGCTGCTGAGAGGGCTCGCGTTGGCTGCAATCAGTGCCTTGACAATGTCGGCGTGGCCACCAACAGCTGCAGCAAAGAGGGGTGAGGCTCCCGCCTAAAGAGCACCGTGTGGCACAACGAGTCGACTGAATACACCGAAGGCAGTACGTACGTGATTGGTCGCGTCGATGCCGTCATAAGCCGTTGCCACTGGGAGCAGTGTCGTGAGGATCCGCATGTGACCGTGGACGGCCGCCATATGCAGCGCCGTCTCGCCGTTCTAGATCAAATGGAGCTTAATGCAATGCTAGCACGATGGACAACCTCGTGGGGTAACGTGGGGTTGACACCGAAACGCAGCAGTTGAGCCACCATCCGGTCATTGTTGCCAGATGCTGCGTGGAGCAGTGCCGAAGCCAGAATGCTCTACCCCACAGCGTCAAAAACGCCACGCGACAATACGAGTACCAACCTCGTCGACGAGATGGATGGACGCGCCTGCTTGATATATCGTCTGAACGGACTCTGCGTTGCCCGTGGAAATGGCGACTGCGAGAGCCGTGCGACCCGTCTATTTCATTGCACAAGCATGTGATAATGTCGGACAAGTGGACGATGTATGGGAGATACCGCGTCTTTGGCATCGATCTGGAGATCGGGTTTTTGAAGCAATATTTGAAGCAGCGACAGATTCTGCGTCGCCACGACCAAGTGCAGCAACGGCGTCTCAGACTACACTCATATGAGTCATATCTATCAATGGTAAATCGGTTGAAAATTGATGTGTACGCTGTCGCGGAGGGCGGCGTTGATAAAGTTGCGTTTGAGAATACGCATGGCGTCAATAATTCGTTTCTCTTGCAGTGCGGCCACGAGCTATAATGAAGAGTGAGTATAGACGCTGCAGAAGCATGCCATTATGATGAACCAGATACCTGCTCGCCTTGCATGCGAGGATAGTCGCGCAAAAGCTTTGCAACTTGCGCATAGGCAACGTCAAGTGGTGTTTCGCCATTCTATACGTGTTGTTCATATATTTTGTGGATTTCTTGAGGCACATTTGATGCCAGCACCAAACAATGACATGGTGGCTGCACGCACCTTGTTTATGGCGTCGAGTTTGGCGCCTTTTTCCAAGAGAAAGGCGACCATTTCTGGATTTTGGGTTCGAGCGGCACTGTGCAGTGGTGTATCACTTTGCTACGACAACTACGTACTCAAAAACAGCTTCATTAATATAGAAACGTACCGAGCTGCGTACTTGCACATTGGCGCCTTTGTCGAACAAGAGGCGGACAATATCCAGATGACCTTTGTAAGCAGCTACGTGCAGTGGCGTCCAACCTTCGCTCTACATAATCGTTGGATGCATTCAGTATGTCGGACGAGACTCTGCCGTCGATTCGCACAACATAGTACCTTGCAACGCGCTTCCACATAGGCGCCTTTTTCAAGCAAAAACGAACGACGTCCAAATGACCATAGGATGCAGCTTGGTACAGTGGCGTCCGACCATCCTACTCCAAAGTATGCATGTAAACCAATTCAATTCGAGAGATCCAACGTACGTCTCCGCAGTTGACGTTGACGCCTTTGTCGAGATAACATTGGACGCCAACCAAATTGTCATTCCATGCAGCACTGAGAAGTGCGTCCTACATCATCGCTCATCCAACATCGTCGCAGGTCGCATGGTCGTCGCTCTACCTCGTCGTTCCATGTTGGCATCTTTCGTCGCCGTCGGATTGAAAACTGACACGTCTCCAACTTTTTATTGGCTTCTTTTGAACCAATCCACGCTCGACATATCACAACCGGACGACGTCGTATCTTTTCGGATAAGTAAACCGTGTCAAGATCTGATTCCTTCGAGGCAGTCGGCAGAATTAGTGGAAAAAAGCAGGCGTGCAGTAATAGAGCCAAGGGAATAAATAAGTTATTCCTTTGAATAGAGCGTGCGACCGCGTCATCGATTTGTACACAACTACGTCATGCGGGTCGAGGAGCCTATGTAAGGAGCAGAGTCTGTTGCAACTGGCGTCAGCTTTGGCGCCTTTCCATCACTGCCATGGATCGCTCAAGATGTTTTTGACTGTCAGAGTTTTCTTGGCTTGGCTCATCCAAAGCAGCAAAACGGGCTCGACGTACCCTTCTCATAGACAACACCAGTCTGTACAAGTTCTGTTGCGATCGACGGCCGCGAACAAAAATACAGTCTTTTACTAATATGTAAACGAAAATGCAAATGTGTCAAGATATCAACTGCAGTGCTTGTGTACAGACAGCATCGTCTTTGTATCTACCGGTGCGCACGGTCGTCCACTACCCTTCTGCACCATCCTACGGCGCAAGGGTTGCACAAGCAGACGCTTCGAGCGATGTGCTTTTGGATCCCACGTCGTTGTGATGGCGCTGTGCTTGAAGCTCCAACACACGGCCAAGTCGACCTCGTTGTCGTCGTATGGACGACGCTTCGCGGTTGGTGTCGAAGAAAATCGCTTAAAAAATCGCACTTGTCGACCACCTTCTTTGCTTATAGCGTCCAGTGGAACCCGCGACAAGACTCATGGACACTCGCACGCTTCCCGCACTCGCCGCCAACGCCGAGCACCCAGCACACTGCGACAGTAGGCAATCGACATGTGC